AAACCATATGAAATAATAAGGGTTCATTTACCAAACGCTTACCATGTAAGTACTTATCTGCAAAAACATCACCTGCTCTTACCGTGTCAGATAATATTCTCGACTATCAAAATAGATTTTTGGTATACAAACTTTTACCCAATAAATACTTATCAGGTAAGATTTTTCTCTCTCACTTACTGAACACTTATCTAATAGACTTTTGGTAAAAGCCAACTTTGAGATGACCATATCTAATAAATTAGTTAGAGCCAAATGGGCTCCATTCTTTTGGCCCATCACCGTGCCTATTATTTGTTTATCGCCCGAGTTTCAAGCCTTTTTGGTATTTTTATTTTATTTTGTTTTTAATATAAGCGACATGAAATACAAGATTTCATTCAATTAGTTGTCATCTTAGATAGGGGTGTTTAAAAATCCGACTAACCAGATTAACCTAACTCAATAGAATGCGAAATAATCAACTTGAAGCAATCCGATGTCTAACCGAGTTGTAAAAATTTCAAATCATAGGTATTGAGTTACTATTATCTGAACTCAACCTAACACGATGAACCCGATAACCTTCTATTTTTTTTGGAATTTAATATGATTGTTGAATTAGTATTAATAAATACATTAGACAATTACATTATCACATACGCGCTCTTCATATACATATATTTTCAATCTATTCACATCTTTATATAACTCATTCGTATATATGTTCAGTAATTGTGGACATATATATATGTAATTTGAGAAAATTAACTAAATGTAATATACGTAAGAAGTATGGATAAGTTGTACCAAACGGTTGATGATAAACCAAAAAATGAGTAAAGAAATAACATATTCAATGTTAGAAGAATATTTTAATGTACCAAAGTATCAACCCGACCAACCCGTACGGTTTAGGTTGGGTTGCACTTTGGTTTGGTTTGGTTTGGTTAAGATTTTTCAAACCACAAGAATTGGGTTAGGTTATTCAAATGTCTCCAACCCGATCAACCCAACTCATAAGCATCCCTAATCTTAGATATATGTTAATTGAAAATGACAACGTTGTTTATAAAAATTCAATGTACTCATCTGATGTATTAATTCCCCTCTAAAGAAGACGACGTTCGGCACGACACAGACAAAGATGAGGTGGGAAGTGGGATAAAATTAGAGTTTTTTTTTGTTTACTAAAAAGGACGGAATAATATTGTGGAAAAAACACATAATTAGTAGCTACCCTCCTAAGTGTAATAAAATCTAAAATTATATATAATGACTTGACATCTTCTATGAATTAGACAAGTGATACTAAATCAAAGACGCATGCGACTTTTGGCGCGATCTTGGTTGCGGGCCAAAGTTGTCCTTACACCACGGTTAAACCCGCCATCTATCGCGGTTAAACCCGCCAACTAACGATTTTAACGATGAGCATCCCCTCATCTCTCAAAGCATGGGAGATGAGGGCATGAGTGATAAGCGATCCCTCATCTCTGGGAGATGAGCATCCCCTCATCTCCCAAGGCTTGGGAGATGAGCAAGCCTCAATGAACATAATTTCCGAATCCAAATACATCACATAATTTCATGTATCAAAGTAAATCACGTGAAACGTATTAACTCATAATTTACCAAAGCTTTGTAAAAACTCATCTCGTCCGAAATCAACCAGTATCTCACCGAACTATCTAACCGAATCTTTCTTTATTTGAATGAAAACCACCAAACTTCTCCAAACATTTTTCTGCCAAAACTCCCCTAACAATTCTCCCAAAAACAAATTATACACGAATAAAAGAGAAAGAAGTATGAGGCGGTGCATGGCATGCACCCTACCTCCTCCCCCATGTGATACTAGCAAACCAACCACTCTATTAGACCAACATATTTGAATCACAAAGAGGTAAGCATATTCACCTTTGGTCCTTCATCTTCCAAAGATTATATCCCTGAACTTTTCATCAATATTATTTCGAAACCTGATCAACATCAAGGTTAACACCGGATATTACATGTAGAATGTTTTTATTGTCCATACCGTATGTTATTCATTTATAAACTTTTCCGGATAACAAACATTACATCTTAATTTATGATTTTTGTGGGTTATATGTTGTTGACGAATGTTTTGTTCAAAAATTTATTCTCTATTATATTTTATTGACTATGGTTCTTCATCATCTATATGTTTAAAAGTTATTTATGTTGTTTGTCTTCTTTTTATGTGTCTTTTTATTTTGCGTAATTTTGTTTTATTAAAATATCGTTGTATTTATTCAAGTTTTTATTTTTTGTTTTCTGATAACAATCAGATTATGATCAAGTGTGATTTACGTGAATTTTGTTATTATAAATTTTTTTCTCCATCTTTTATATCTATAGAGTTTCTCAATTTATATTTTTATGTCATTCTCTGTATTGTGGTTATTAAGAATCCATTATATATCATATGACTATTTGTTATACTTTAAATGATGCTTATGTATTTATTCATTTATTTGAAAAATCAATAAAATGTGATATTCATGTATTTATTCATTTATTTGAAAAATCAATAAAATGTGATATTCATGTGCTTTTTATATGTGTATTTGTTTGCTTTTATTAAATTATTTATATTATATGATATGTGTTATTTGTTTTATTATGCTTAAAATTATTTAAGTTTGTTTAAAGTTTTATTTATTTATTTATTTAATATCATATTTTATTGGGTATAAATTGATTTTGTTATGTAGGCGGAGAGATTAAAGATTTTTATGAAAAAAGAAAATTTTAATTTTTTTATATATTCGGTAAATCAAAAAGAAATTGTCCCGTTTAATATTTTGAAGAGATTTATTTAATGATGACTTAAAGTTTTAGTTATATATTAGAAAGATTGATCGTAACATATCAACAATTATGAGTATGACAGTATAAACAAAAAAAAAAATATGAGTGTCAATAAATCAATCATTATACTTATAATTTTAATAAAAGAAAATGATATATATATATATATATATATATATATATCTATACTATATTATAAAGCATTTGACTAAAACTCTTAAAAACTCTTAAAACTGTTAAACCCGTTCATCCCTAAACAATTTCATCCCTATCTGATTTCATTCTATAACTGAATTCGTGTAACTAACTGCAGATAAAGACAATCAAATACAGGATAAACATCTCATTTTAAATATAAAAAATCTAAAATATAATTAGGATAATCATTGAGTTCTAACAAAATACTTAATTATTATCTTTATAAAATGATATATTATTAAACCAAAAATAAATTATTTCGTTATTAAACCTAAATTAAATTAAAAAAAAATAATCTATACTATATTATAAAGCATTTGACAAAAACTCTTAAAAACTACTTTTTATACATAAACTACTGTTTATTAATGCGTATTACTTAAAACTCAAGATTACAAGTAGATTGTGCGTAAGTATAACTTATTAAAGCTTCATATCTCAATTCGTGTAACTAATTGCAKATAAAMATAATCAAATACAAGATAAATATCTTATTTTAAATATAAAAAATCTAAAATATAATTAGGATAATCATTGA